TAGTAGGTATTACAAAGTATGATACTTACCTATGACTTTTATTTATTTATTATGTTAACTCCTTACCTCGCTCTGCCTTTAAGATATCGAACTTTTTTATGCTTTCCTGTGATTCTCTTCTCTAGTCCTGTTTCATGACGTCCTAGTGCCACTTTTGTACATTATGCGTATTTTCCTCATATTATTACATATTATGTATGTATATTTCTTCAAAAGTTGTTATTAATTAATCTATGACTACGTGTATTTTTTTAAAAGTTACAATTTACCATGGGCCACAAAACTATCACCTAACATTTAAAAGAAATATGATTTTTTTTTTGTTAAAATTTTACTTTTATTATACATTTATTTAAAGACGTAACTAAATTATGTGGTTGAATTTTTTGTCATAGAGGAAAACAAAAAAAAACAGAATCACTACATCACTACTTTATTATTCCGTAAATGATAAGAATATCCAAAAACCCAAACTGACATAGCTATATGAAGCCCAGTCGAAAATGAGTAAATAACTTTAAAATTAAAAAAAGCAGGCAAAGTAGTCATATTTCCGTAATGATTATATTATATAACATTACATCCCTTCACAAGTCCACTGTTGAACATAGGCTTCCCCCAAGATATGCCACAAAACACGGTTCTGAGCCACCTGCGTCATCATCTGCATCAACTTCATGCATGCCAGGTCATTACTTAATCTAGTGGAGGGCCGTGCTACGCTGATATAATACATAACACTAATTATTATCTGAAGTAATTCATGTATCAACATACTACACTTTAACACTAAACGAAACCCGCTAAATAAAGAGATAATAATTTTTATTTAAATATTTAACATCACAAAACCAATACGTCTTTTAGCTAAATGTTACGATTTATACATAAAATTTCACCACCTTTTATGGTTAGACAATAAAATCGTATTTCCGATAAGCTTTAAAAATTACTTAAGGCTGTCGTTTTTTTTTTAATAGTATTTTTTAGTTTTATTCTGGTCACCAAGTAGCAAGCAACGTTGGTTCTAATTTCTTGGATATCTTTATCAGTTACGGTATAGTCGGCGATGATAATTTTTCTTTCAATCATGTATTCCATTTTGTTATGTTCCTTAGATTTCTGTAAACAGTTTCATTAGGGAATATTATAATCTTAAGATTCAATAGTACAACAGAAGTATATGCATCGGTAGCGAATATTTTTTTTTAATATACTCCATAGCTAAATATTATAATTAACTATAACAAAAACGTGTCAATTTCATATTATCAATATTATCTGTAGATGTATCCAATTATTGTAAACATGAAGTTCTAGTTTCAATTCATTCATTAAAATTAATGCTATTTTTTATATTTTATCAGTGCATTGCTTGACTAAGCGCGTTTACTTAATTTGATACAATAATTGTTTACCTAGCGCTAGGATGACTCACTTACATATATTATGAAAAACAGTGGCTGGTATTTTTTATTATGTATTATATGATTTTGTTTTAAACATTAATTTGTTCATAACGTTCATTTAATTTGCGAGGCGTTCGGTGCCTTTTACTAGCCTGTACTAAACTAAAATATTTGATGATACGATAATTGTAACCCTGGTAAGGGATCTTATGACGTTATGACGCAATCTGATCCAGAAGTTTCACACTTCTTGTTGCGAACTCCTAATTTGCGTTGTAATGGTACGCAAAAATGTATTTAAAAGTACTGGATCGATTACTTAATTTGTAAAATATAATATTAAATGACATGGCGAATGCGCTCCAGTGAGATCTAAAACTGTTAATGTTTGTAAATACTGTTAAATCAACTTTCAACTGTTATTATGTTATATTTCTTTGTGCCATGATATATAATAAATATTATTTTTGGAAGAAACTTCTTATTTGCTTAGGATATGTTTCTAATATTTTCTTGATAATGTTTTACAAATAGTGCCAAATCCTTTAACTAGGTTCTTATTTTGTAACACATGTCTTTATTTGAAAGTTTATAGTAATTTGTTTTCAACATATTTTTATACGATATGTATTTTTGACATGGCTGCTTTAATGTAACATTTGTAATGTTGTAACCGTTGTTATTTTAAAGTCATAATATTATAATCAAGTAGGAATTGTAAAACTAAAAAAAAGTTATTGTGTTCACATATATTTTTCTTTATACTGACTCATGGCAGTAAATATTAAATTTATTTTATATTCTACTGTAAATATATTGCAAAGATTTTTAAATTAAAAATTAATGTGGACAAAACATCGCGATAAGAGAGTATCACAACTTAAATATTTCGTTACTTTGTATAATACATATGCCCTTATTACAAGTACATTAAGAATATGATCTATTATGTAATTTTATTTATTTAAATTCCAACTGAGCAATATTAATTAATTAAATATAATAAAAATGCTACCAATGAAAGCTTTTTTCTTAAATCATATTTTAATGTCATGATCTGAGCCCTTGTGTTTGCAAGTTCTAATACTGAAAGTCATAAAATTACACATAATATTAAATAAGGAACAAATATAATTCCTAAAATGCCGCCCTCTATACACTGCCAACCGGGCCATGGTCCCTGACCACCTTGCTACGAACACCATGCTATGCCACGGGTGAAGTGCAGTAATGCTACTGTAGAATATTGTTCAAAATTATATACTTATCACATGAACTGTATGGATCCGTGGTTGTTGAGTTGAGAGGCCGATATCGAATGCCTTCGATTAGGTTTGGCACAAAGCGCTTCTTTCGAATCTTCCTTCCTATGGGCTTCCCAAGAAATTGTGCAATTGGATCACCAGTTCTCTTTCAGATCGGAGTATAAAGGTTGTAGTAGACGGTGCAAGCTACGACAACACGCTTATTAATGCTGGTGTCCTACAAGGCTTCGTGCTATCACCTACGCTGTTTCTTCTGCATATGTTGCAAACCAGCAGACAGCAGTGGTGATGCTTTTTACACCGGCCGTGCCGATATTCCTCGGGAACACGTCGAGTATCTGAATAAACTTGTGTGAAATTGAGTGTTTGTTAAACAGTCTCGTATTGGGATCGATCAAATCTGGTCCAGTTTAACCCTCTTAAAGACAGTTTTGCGCGCTTACCGCTAAAAAGGCCTCTAAAAAGCTTTGCGTGCTCAGCAGGAGTACACCACTTGCAACGTTACAAGGCGTAGGTTCGGCTTCAAATAGAGTACTCTTAGCCTTCTTTCACTTGATCGATTCACTGGCCTTGTGAAGAGATGTTGCATCCCTTTTTATTTTACCACGGGAGTGCTCAGAGGAATTTTTCGAATTCATTACAGCCGCAAAATTCCATCAACCCTACATTGCAACAAAACCCTATACGATTCCACCACTGTACGATTTACAAGGAGTTTTCTACCTCGTACGACTTCTTTGTGGAATCGTTTACTAACGGCGATTTTTCGGACTTTCAAGAAACAAGCTTACTCCTTTTCAAAAGACCGGTAACGCACCTGCAATTCCCCTGGTGTAACAGTTGTTCATGGGCGGCGTTCGACACTTACCATCAGGTAGACCGCACGCTCGTTTGCCCCCTTTTCTATTAAAAAAAAGTTGTTAGAGGTCGGATTTGTCTTTTATTAAAAGTTAATTTTTTAAACAACTCCAATGCTCGGATGATCGTTAACTTTAAATAATAATCATCATCATCCTTACAGCCCTTCACAAGTCCACTGCTGAACGTAGGCCTCCCCCAAGGAACGCCACAAAGCACGGTCCCGAGCTACCTGCATCCATTGACTTCCTGTATGGCTGACTTTAAATAATGATCGCTAAAAATATTAAAGCGCGTATGTTTTCAGGTCAGGTATATCATATCAAATATACCATAAACAATCATACTGATTGATTTACCATAAACCGAGTTTTTTTACATAGGTAAGCAAATGAACGTAACAAAAAATCTGCAACCAGGCGCCACTTTGGAATCAAGTGAAGAATTTGACAGATTTCATGGACGGGAATTTATATTGTTACAAAAATATATAAGTAAGATTGAAATGGATAAACCAAACAATATACCAACCAGCAATTTTTGCAACATTGTTAAAAGTAGAAGAATTAAAAAAAATTAGCGGCAGTACCGTTTCCAGGTATTTAAAAAGTACTCTGTATCGTATCATACCATACTACGCAACCATACGCCCATAAATTACTGTATATCATACGCACTATCAAATTTCAATCTAAGTTATTGGCTTTGGACGTTGGATTGAAATTTGAATCATATGAGAAATACGAAAAATATGAGATAGAAGCATTGTGTGAAGGTAGACATGTCGCGACAAACCGCGCGTCATTGTCGTATAGTTAATAGTTAATACTAAATATTAATATTTTATAATAAATTTTTACTTATTATTTTTTAATAAATTATTAAAAAATAAAAAGTACCTACTCTGTGCCGCGCGCAACATAGCATACACAATAGTCAACCAGTACTCTGTGACAAGCATACAAATTACAAATACAACAGCTGCCTGCCTGGCGGGACGCCGCCGCCCATTGGCTGCTCGAGGGAACCGGTCGCGCCGCACCTCGCCGCCCTCCTCCGTTGAAACTTCGAAACAAAATTCTTATTCATGTACCTTGCAACGACCGTTGCTGCCGTTGACCGAGTGCCGCCAAGTTAATATTTCGCGTAATCTTATCGCGTTTCAATAGTAACCGTGTTCATGTGTCATACTTTTAACAAATTAATGTACCGGGATCTTTTAATAACGAGGACGAAAGGTTTGATATCGCTATGAAAACAATCGATGTGTCCCGTGTTATTGTCCTTTTTGTTTCAACGGTGTTTCGTGAGCGTCTACAACATCGGGCCACCTTTACCATGTGCGTCAGATAGTGAGTGATGTGCTTAGTTTTTTACCAAACTAATATGATAGATTGAAGATATTCAAGTGCGTAATGCGCTGCGAGATGAGGTGTTTCGCGTGAATCATAGAATGTGTAGCATGAATATGAAGGTGACGGTGTGTTTTGGATCTGTGCGAGTGCTGGTACCATGCGGTGCCGGCGACTTATTGGTCAGGGACCTCGTACGGGAAGCCACACACCGATATAAGAAAGCTACCGGACAGGTTAGTATATCTATGACAGTATGACTTCATTTTTGTACTTCACCAAAACCTAAACACATTATCTATTAAGTTTTCGCGCGGATTTTCTGCGATACTATTGGCTCGTACCTAACTCCAACTTGAATGTCAGTGCTCAGTGTGCATACTACGGTACACTAAATTTATGGATTCATGAGGAAGAGCTAATTTGCCGTAAAGATATTATACAATAAATATAAGCTGGCGTAACGAATTAATTGGAGATATTTGTGTACGTAAGTTACATATTATACCTAATTTAGTTTAACGATATGCTAAAGTAGGTAGGTCGATAATAGTAATCTGCCACAACTTGTTTTTGCGTATAATATAATGATCTTTTGCTATGGAATGCACGACTTTGGCTGAGCAAGAACCACTTTCGCGGCAATGTATCAGTTCTGAATAGACAGCCAGCTTAGCGGTGCTTGAGCGATGCGGTCAAACTAGATTCACGCACGAATTATTTAAATTTCATAATTAATTTAAATGACACACTTAGCCCATGTAATAATTATTAAAAATTGCAAAAAAAGTCAAACTAAATGCGCTTTTTTGTAGAAGTTTCACAAATATTTTCAATGATATTTACTTAGTGCTTAGATTTATGTTAATATTGGACTAACCTGCCTTAGTGTTTACCTATGAGTTCTTTAGATACCTAGGTTACTCTTAAAAACAACTACCTAAATTTCAAGTGCTTATAACGGCAAACATTCCTGATGATTCAACTTAACACCATAATACGACTAGGTACTCACATACCACAGTATCAATCATGAATAATGCTTTATACACGCATTATTAACGAAGAAAATACTACAAGATACTTTGAAATCTTTCAGGAAATCAAATACTTCAACTGTAGATAGCAATAGTATTTGGTGTAATATCTATACTTTTCTTATTCCAACCTTAAAAATACTGCACAAAATCAAAGTCCGATCATTGAAGTATGCAGTTACGTACAGTATGATTACTTATAATGTTACATAATTACATTTGCTGCCGCACACGCCCTCAGTGCTTACTAATGTCATTCAGAGCCATGTAGGAGGAAGCCGTCGACCTTGCTTGCACCTTCGTGGCACCATCGTCTTGGAGAGCACCGCAAATATAGAGATACAATTATACTTCGTTATTTTTTATTGAGCAATCAATATCCAATGCACTATATCGATATACAATGGACGTTATCGTAACGAGTAACGCAATTCTTACGATCACCTATCCATCTATTTTGATATGGATTATGATGGATTAAAAACACTCGCAATACCAATCACAAAAATATGGTGCTGTTTGACGGTGCAATAAATTCCCAGTTAATTGTGTGACTATTAGCATGTTAAGTGGAAACACAATGACAAGTATAGTTTCAGATGACCGAAATACAGACCTTTATTACGGTAAAATCAACAGCCGTCAAGAAGTTTGTTTAAAGATTAGAAGAACAGCTAATGAACATTTTATTAAAAATAAAATAGGTTTGACATATGTTTGCCTCTACGAATAATAAAATTTAATTCTGTTTTAAAAACAGTTTAGAACTGAAACTTCCATCAAAATCACGAAGCTCCAATTCTAATAATTTACTTAAAATTAGATGACTAAATTTTTGTTTTCTCAGAACCCCCGGACCTTTCATTAATGGTGATTTGGCTATGCATTGTTTAGGCCCATTGTTTTGACATTAAATTAACCAGCGATCTTACTAATCCATCGCACTCGTTTCGAACTGACACGCTAATATGCGTAAAAAAAAAGAGGTAATCCCTATACGGGCAATATGCGTGTCAGTATAGAATACACTTTACACAAATGTAGAGCTAATGTAGTTTCTGCAAACGTTTCTGCACGATTGGTCACTAGCGATTACTCAACAAAAAGGTCGCGAGCTTGAGTTAACAAGCTGCAAATGGCCTGTTTCCCGTTTCATTGGCGAAACGAAATATTGAGAACAATATTGAGAAACTATAACACTGAATGTAAACTGCGTCTGCGTGTGTAGAGTTCATAATTTTTATATTGGTCGTGAAAGGCGAAATAATTTGTAAACAATGAATTCGTTGTTACTTCGAACGGCAGCGAGCTTGTGAGGTATGCAATGGGCACGTTCGTGGCTCGCCGACTTAACTATTGTAATCCTTCGTTATACGTACGGGTATGGATATCGTCTATCAACCGGTTCTCAGAAAAATGACATGCCATTCTTATATTATACAAATATCTCTCGCTAAACAGTCTATTAACTAGATAGATCGGATAAGGAACTTCGTTACAAAAATATGCCTGCCTCCCCCCATACTTAGATTGCCACAAAACATAATCCTAAGCTACCATTGACTACGTGCATCTGGTTGTCACTCCATCTAGTTTGGGATCACTCTAGCTCTGCTTGAAACGTTGCAAGTACGATGTCGCCACTCGAGAATATTTCTTTAATATCAGTTAGGTAGGTATATTAAATCTTCGAGCTATATGTTTTGTTTTACTTTAAAAACGCTACTGAGAGGTGAGAGCACCCTCTTACCTATTCCTACCGCCAAATTGCTGTGTTGCGGTCTGTAGGGTATAGACTATAGAGAGCTAATATAATTGGCTGTGAGTCATCTACCTTATTCCTCAGAGATGACAACGCATCTGTGGGCTTCTTTATTTGAATTTGATTGCAGGTGTCCATGAGCTGCAAACCGCAGTAGACACTTACCATCAGCTGATGGAATGATAGATTAATTTGTTACTTCAAATATTAAAAATAAATTAGGTTTCGAATCGAAATCGTTATATTATTTTATTATAGCTAGGTAGTAACATGAATACATTTTATAGTAGTGTCAATATGATCGTTGAAAAAAATCTTCAACTGCTTCACGTTCAAGTTGTTACTCAAATCGTTACTTCGCTTTGGTCATTAAATGTTTATATCGTGGAAAAAACAGCAAGCCGATCTTCCCATGGCGCCATATGTCGGAATTTTTGTCAAGTAGATAAATGAAGGGTCTTTATTCGAATCTCGGATGTTTTTGTACATATTGCCTTGCACATGTTGCAGATTCATATTTAAAGTGTTAAATATAAATTTGGTGCTAATTGAGTAATATTTTTAATACATTCGATTCCCATTTTTAACGGAGTTTCAAAAGCGAGAAGTTATAATGTATCACCAATGTCTCGTAAACGGCTGAATAGATTTTAATGATTATTTTTATTAAGTTAATAGATTATATTTAAGGGTTGGTCTCATATAGAATTTAGAAAAATATTTGACTCCCATGGGGTTGAAAAAAGGGGATGACATTCTAGTTGTTTCCTTGAACTTGTGATATTTCTTATTGTATTCAAAAGGGTAAACACAATTAAACTTTAAAACACTCTTCGATACGCTATATCTTCAAAAGCACAGACTTGTGATTTTTTTTGAAGTCGATTTTACTTGCCTTTTTTTTTAGTTCAATTATGCTATTATATTTTTGTTATAATAAGGGGCGATCGAGTCCCAGACGAGCTGAACAATTTGTGCTACAATCATAATAATATAGCTGTAGCGTGGCTCTACCACGTATACATATAAAATACACACAAGCTAGGGTACGTAACGGATGCACTTCTAGTGATACTCTTAATATTTCAGACACGAATTTTGGAATGGTTAATTCCGATTTAGGTTCTATGCACGTAGGTTTGTTTCCTTCTACACTGAAATGTAGCATAATTAATATTATTATAAATTTAACGCTGAACGGAAGTGGTCAGATCTGAAGAAGAAGATTATAAAATAAATTTATAAAGCCAAAGTCGAAATATTTTTGTACGTTGAGTGCTCAGATGTTAATTTATTATACGAGTGCTATCGTATCTTACGACTTTACTACCCCTTTCGAGTATTAGGATGGACGACGACACTAAAGTCGTGGATACGGTATCGCATACTTCTGTTGTAAATCATTCCTAGCCTCAACAATTTATGCTTAGTTAGTTATTAATACTGCACTTATCGCAATTATAACAATTTTTTAACTTTTTTTCATTAAAATCACTCATGAGAATTATGAGAACAGAATACATAAAAATATTATCCGTATTATTTTCGAATTTGTATTCCTAATGTTAAAATCAGTTAATATTTCATTTACATCAGTATTGGCTATAGAACAGCTGTACTGTTTATATAAAATTTGTATTTCCCTGCCCCATATCATCCCGTGGGTGTCATAAGAGGCGACAGAGGGAAACGAACCACGAGATAGGCAGCAGCATCTTCCTGATAACATCTATACAAATAAATAAAATTGAAATGTCTGTTTGTAATGTCAAAATTACTGCTATTTACTAAATTCATATGAAAGTATATACGGTACTAATAATAAAAATACAATTTTTAATAATAATAACTTTATTAAAAACTTTAAACATGTAGTAGGTACATACAGAGAGAAAAAAAATGTCTTACATGAAATAATAAAAATTAGGTAAAAATACTAGTAGGGTGACGTTCTGTTCTCCTTGCTAGACTATAAAATAGCCTGTATTAATACAATTTTTAAAGTGTTTGTCTGTCTGTCTGTCCGTCTGTCTGTCTGTTTGTTCCGTCTAATCTCCGAAACGGCTGGACCGATTTTGACGGGATTTTCACTGGCAGAATTAGGGTTAGCGCAAAAACAAAATTAAAACTCCAAATAACGCGCGGGCGAAGTCGCGGGGAACAGCTTGTCTCAAATATAATAAAATAAACTACAGTTGCCAACCAGCGCGTCAAGCGTGGCAACTATGGTAAATATCTATATATTATGTATATTATGTATCTAATATTATGTATAGGCTGTAATTGTAATGAGATATGTTACAATAGTTAAGTAAATACTGGTGTAAATTACCTATTAAAATTTAATATATGACAATAAAATTAATACTAGCTTTCATAAAAAAAAAAACGCGAATAATAGAATTCGTTCCGTATTCTATACCTACCTACGTCGCAA